AAATTTAAGATTTCATCCGTGAGATGCTGGATTTGATGGAAAATTGAATGAAATTTGAAATTTTTGAGCAGCAGGAAGAGCAGAGCTCTCCGATTTAAACGAAACATGAAGATTCAGTGCTAAATTATGTAGAATTAATCAATCAATCAATCAATCAATTTGAAATTTAAGAATATATTTACCTTAATATTGATATTTTTATAATTATTTATATTATTTAATATAAATATTGAAGTAAAATAAGAAGTAGTATTATTTAATATGTATATAATATAAATAATAATAAAATATTTATATTTTCATGGAATAATGGAATCGCCTTATTGCTCCAGTCGTTTATTCCATAAAATTTTGAATTTTCAATGACGACATTCCTTGAAATTTCGGCGGAGCTACTAGCTGATAAGAATATCAAGGACGCCCCCCTCCCGAAATTACAGCCAAATCATTTCAAATCATGCGCAAACTTGTTGGCACAAATTATTATTTAACCCTTGCACCCCTAAAAACCCCTAAATTGAAACTTCTCCTGGTCAATATTCCATTAGTAAACGGAAAATTCCACAATATTGACCCAAACGCCACATGCCCTTTATGTAATCCACAGGATCTAGAAACAATAGAGCATGTCTTCCTGAGATGTCCCATGTCCTGTACCCCCAGATCTCAATATCTCAGTTCATATTTTGTTAATGGATGGACAAATGATAATCTGGATTTTTGTAGTGTAGCACTGAAGAGAGTACCAAAGCGCTGTATTTTTATGTCTGTGATGCGATGAAAATCAGGGAACAAATCCTAGATATTTGTTAGACTATAAAAGTGGGTAACATTTTATTTCTGTACGTCTGCCGTTTTATTGTATGTAAGGAAAACACCCACAAATTTCTTCCCTGTCTCTCTCTTTTTCCTCCTCTTTCTTCCTCTCACGAGCCATCAAGGCCGGAATAAAACGCAATTTTTTATAGTCGAGCTACACCTGAAATATCTAATTTACTCGCCAAATGATGTTCATACTAGACTAATATTTTATCTACCTTTGCATTCTCTTTTGTATTTATAAATGCCTTCGTATTTCTCTACTCCCCCCTTGCTAAGACGGAATAACTCATAAACAATAAACGAAATAAATAATATTCCATTAGTTCCAGCCTTCGCAGCCTCTCTCCTCCTGAATTACAGAAACCTCGTTTCCAGTATATTCAGAGGGCCCCTTTATAAATTGAATTTTAAGGTGTTTCGCGTAAAAAGTCAAAATAGCGAAAAAAATGGAAAATTCAGGGGAAAAATGCAAAAAAAAATTAACACTCCGTAAATGTTGGAATGCACACCCAAATAATTCCTCGAAAATTTTCGTGTTCAAGAATTACTAGTATCACGGCTCGAGAATGACACTTCAATTTCACCCCCTCCCCTTCCCCCCACATAATACTAGTTATCAATTTTTTGGAAACAAAAAAACTTCGCTCCCTCCATTACCACAATGTCCAGTGCCTCAAGTTTTCGTTTCCAAAAATGAATAACCATGGACATGACGATGAAAATGCAGCACCTGTAAGAGGCACCGTCACCCCTTAAATACATTCCAGTAGCGAAGTGGTAAAACGGTTCAAGTCGACTCATCTCCCACTTGAGTTTTTGACGAATATTTCCGAATCTAAGGGAGATACCGAAATTTTCGTAACGACATTTGTTGTAGCTCTCAATCGGCTCTACAAAAAAGGTTCTACCAAAAATTTCACTATCTCCCTTAGATTCCGAGATATTCATTGAAAATTGGTCAATAGTCAAAACTAACTTGTACCGTCTCACCACTTCACTACTGATTTGTGGCCCGTCTTCGCCGCTGGAACCGCGCAAATTCCGCTACCTCAGTGGGTCACTTTCTTCAACCAGCTCTGTGGCCCCTCCCTGCACCCCCTTCAACCCCAAAAAACCCATCCCCCCACTCTCAACCTCTCCCCTCCCCCCTTCATCAAAGCCATCACCGACAACACCCTTGTCTCCCCACCGATTCCCCACCCACACCCGATATTTTGAGAGCCGTCTGTCGATGCCGGCCGACGTTCATTGAGTGTCTCTCGTAGGTGCGAGGCTCATTCACTCCTCTTACCCACCGGTGTGGAAAAAAAAACTCTGAGCAAACGGAGAGAAGTGGGTCCCCGGTACCCAGCGCGGGCGGCACGAGCGGTGCACGACTAGAAGAGGGGTAGCTCGGAGTCACCCAAGAGAGCCAGGAGAGTGGTGCAGAGGGGGCGGGAGAGCGCGCGAAGGGGGGAGGGGGGGAGCTTTGAGCAACAGCAATCAGCTGATCTCTCCAACGACGGCAGACCGCGCGTCGCGTCATTCCTCCCCCTCCCCTCCCCCCTCAAAACACTACCTATCAACTCTCTTTCGGTCTACGTCTCTATCTTCGTCCCAGCTCGGCCTTCACCGGCATATACTCACTTGCCCCCTTTTGGCCCAGTCCTCCCTCTCTCTCTCTCTCNGTTATTCCCACGTTTCCAACCCCGGGCCCCTGTCCACACTCACCTCCCCACCCGAAGCAAAACCCATTTCCGCGTCGTCCTCTGACTCCTTCTACCGTGCCCCCGGCACAGAACGATCAGCTGATTCGAAATACGTCAGTTGTAGCGTGGGCCTCCGCAGTGAACCACGTGCGTTCGATAACATTGTGGATCGTGTGCAGTGGTGAGTCCCGGCGGGGTTTGGTGGAATCGCGGGGATTGGTGGTTGAGATGGCGGAGAAAAAAAATTTTCGTCATTCCGGCCGTAAGGCAGCGATTCACGAACGCGTAGCGTTTCTGTTAACAGCTTACAGCCGTTATTAGGACAAAATAGTATATTTCGTCATTAGGCCGAAAAAAAATTTTATGGCGAATATGAGGTTTGGAGCACGAGCCGAAGGCGAGGGCCGAAGGCGAATCATATTCGTCAGAAATAGTTATTTTTGTCATTCCGGCGGTGAGGCAGCACTTCACGGACGTTCCGCTCCGCTCCGCGTCCGTGAATCTCTGCCTACGGCCGTCATAACAAAAAATACTGTTCGTCATATGGCCAAAAAAAACTTTTCTAACTCATGTGATTGCGACCCTCACCTTCGGCTTCGGCTGCAAACTCATATTCGCCAGAAAAGTTTTTTTCGGTCTAATGACGAAACATACTCTTTTGTCATCAGAGAGATATCATTGGTTTCCAGAAACATGTCACTGATTTTTAGGAATCGATCGCCTACACTGAGAGCAATATTCAGTAAAAAATTGCAAACGGCTGTATTTTTGATACAGCTGTAATTGTACTTGGTCTTTCTACGTACATGGTCTTTCCTTCTTTCTCGAATTTCCTAGACACTTCTTGCGTTCCCTCGAATTTTCTAGAAACTCCTTGAATTCTCTCGAATTTCCTAGAAACTCCCTGAATTTCCTCGAAATTTCAAGAAACTTCTCGAATTACCTCGAAATGTCTAGAATTTTCTAGATTTCCTATAGATGGCGCTGCACATAAGGATCGTTTCCCAAAATGCCCCCTCATATTAAAACCATAGACGTATCCACGTCAAAATTACGGAACAATCCACGTAATCCGTAATTTACAAGAGTGTAAGGGTCGAAAAATCCTATGTAAGAATCGTATGTACGTATCCATACATGGTCTTTCCTTCTTTCTCGAATTTCCTAGACACTCCTTGCGTCGCCTCGAATTTTCTAGAAACTCCCTGAATTTCCTCGAAATTTCAAGAAACTTCTCGAATTACCTCGAAATGTCTAGAATTTTCTAGATTTCCTATAGATGGCGCTGCACATAAGGATCGTTTCCCAAAATGCCCCCTCATATTAAAACCATAGACGTATCCACGTCAAAATTACGGAACAATCCGCGTAATCCGTAATTTACAAGAGTGTAAGGGTCGAAAAATCCTATGTAAGAATCGTATGTACGTATCCATACATGGTCTTTCCTTCTTTCTCGAATTTCCTAGACACTCCTTGCGTTCCCTCGAATTTCCTAGAAACTCCCTGAATTTCCTCGAAATTTCAAGAAACTTCTCGAATTACCTCGAAATGTCTAGAATTTTCTAGAATTCCTGTAGATGGCGCTGCACATAAGGATCGTTTCCCAAAATGCCCCCCCATATTAAAACCATAGACGTATCCACGTCAAAATTACGGAACAATCCGCGTAATCTGTAATTTACAAGAGTGTAAGGGTCGAATAATCGCATGTACAAATGTTTTTCTCCTGCAAACGAGTTTGCACATGACGTTAAAATATTGGAACACCCCTAGATTCACCTGAACCAAACCCTCCGCTGGCGAATCTTCCGCTAATTTCAACTTCGTTGGGGTGGTCTATTTGTGGGATACTGCTGTGGTGGCGTGTTTTTACGAGGCTGCGAGGTGCTCCTCAAGTTGATTGGATTCTGCGGTTCAAGAGGTGTTCGGGGGCAAACTTTGTTTCATCTTGTTTTTGAAGTGTCGAGTCTTGAAAGGAGCATTGAGTGAATTCATTCGACTTGAGTCGAGGGGGAGGGTCTTCATGAATCTCATCATTGGTTCCTCACAGTGATTGTCAAGTGACATTCATCTCATTCACTCACTCCACAACTTCTCTTGAAAATAGGGTATTTTTAGATAACCGAACCGGTGAATAAGTGAATAAGAAACTTTATTATTTTTACTCTTCATTTAATAACAGTCGTAAGACACATCCTCTCTACCAATTCCTCGGAGGAGGAACTAAATGACAACAGGAAACAACTCCCTGAGCTTCTGATGACGTGCGCTCAATAAGTCCTGTTCATTCACCTCAATTTAAACTTGAAAACCGAAGCATAAACATCGTGGCTCACACAACTCACAACATCCTCCCCCCCCCCCCCCC